TGATATGGGTCTGTTTAAGCTGTTAATCTCTTCTTGGTTTAGTTTTGGTGGTTCCCATGCTTTTAGATATCCGTCCATTTCTTTTAGGTTTTCAAATTTAGTAGCGTATAGATTTTTATAATGTTCTGTGTCTTTCTGGTGTTTGTTGTGATGTTTCCCCTTTCATCTCTGATTTTGTTGATTTGGCAGTGCTGTTTCTTTCTTTTGGTTAACTGGGCTAGCGGTCTGTCAATCTTGTTTATCTTTTCAAAGAACCAGCTCTTGGAATTGTTGATTCTTTGTATTGTTTTCTTTATTTCAATTTCATTAATTTCTGCCCTGATTTTTGTTATTTCTTCTTGTCTGCTGGGTTTGGGTTTTGTTTGCTGTTACTTTTCAAGTGTGTTGAGTTGCAATGTTAAGTCATTTATTTGTGTTCTTTCCAATTTTTTGATGTAGGCACTTAGAGCTATAAACTTCCCTCTTAGGACCGCTTTCAGTGTGTCCCAGAAGTGTTGTCGTGTTGTATTGTCCTTTTCATTTAATTCCAGGAATACTTTTATTTCTTTCTTAATTTCTCTTTTGACCCATTCATCATTCAGGAGTGTGTTGTTTAATCTCCATGTTTTCATGTGGTGATTAGGGCTTCTTCTGGTGTTGATTGTAAGCTTTATTGCATTGTGGTCTGATAGAATGCATGAAATTATTTCAATCTTTTTGTATTTGTTGCGGTTTGTTTTGTGTCAATTTTGGAGAAGGTTCCATGGGGTGCTGAGTAGAAAGTATGTCCTTTGGTGCTTGGGTAGAATACTCTGTTAGGCCTAACAGAATACTCTATTAGTATGGTATTGTTTAATTCAGATGTCTCTCTGTTAACTCTCTTCCCTGTTCACCTATCTAATGGAGACAGTGGGGTATTGAAGTCCCCTACTATTAGTGAGTTGGGATTAATCTGGGTCTTAAAGTCCTGTGGAATTGTTTTTATGAAGTTGGGTGCACCTGAGTTTGGTGAATATATGTTCATGATTATAGTATCTTCTCAGTTTTTTGTTCCTTTGATCAGAATGAAGTGGCCCTCTTTCTCTCTCCTGATGAGTTTTAGTTTAAAGCCTATTTTGTCAGATATTAGAATTGCTATGCCTGCTTCTTTCTTAGTACCAATTGCTTGGTATATTTTTTCCCATCCTTTCACCTTAAGGTAGTGCCTGTCCTTAAAAGTGAGATGAGTTTCTTGCAGACAACAAAAAGATAGGCTTTGTTGAAGTTTTCGGTCCATTTTTTTCAGCTGAGTTTTGTGCAGGGTTAGAGCCAAAGATCTAATTTCACTATTCTATGTGTACCTA